TATATTTAGTTATGAAAAAATAATTCGCAAAGAATTTATGTATAGATAGTTTACATTACTAAAGATAATTTTATTATACTTTTTTGTTATGTCTAAAAATGATATTAATTTATTACTAAATATTTTAAATTTATGAATATTTTCACATTTAATTTGTGTATGACAATTATTTATATGATGATGAAAAAATTTATATATAGAAAGAATTTGTTTAGATTATTATTAAATATTTTGAGTGTATGAACAATAATTTATTATAATTTACGTAAACTGATTATATTTGAATATAGATATTAGGAAATTATTAAGCCCGCAAGTGCGGGCAAAACACCTAGTAATCTAATATATCCCATTAACAATATCCAGCCCAGTCTTCGTCAAACAATATACCATTATATAAAATAAACTTTTAAAATCTAAAAGCTAAGTAAAATGTCAAAAAAAAAATTCTTAATAAGTTGAAGTAGACCAAACCAGCAATTAGTGGTGCACACGTTTGTTTCTGTTTGACGAAACATCAATTGCAAAGACCATATCAATTCCTTCCCTTTTCTTGCATATTTCCCTGTCCCTATCCTCTGTTTCTTCTTCCCATTTTCCCTTTGTTATTTTTTTTTATCTATTAGTTTTGTTTCTATCCTCAAGATTTATAGTCTCACATCGTTGCTTCACAAAACACAATATTACCTTGAGTTCAGTTTATCGTATGATTTTCTTTCTTTATCGCTGATTCTTTCTAATGGGCAATTGCTTTGGCTCATCTGCAAAAGTGGTCAGAAGAGAAAGTCCTTATCGTGGTATGTAACAATACACCTCTTCTGTCTCGTATTTCTGTAATCAAGTTATATGTTATCTTTATCTATAAGTTGAGACGTTTTTGATTAGATAAAGTGTATTATTATCATCAGGATCCTCAAGAATCTATGCCAAACCGAGTCAATCGTCTCGCCTCGCAAGCATAATCATACCACCATCATCTTACAACGATGACAAGAGTTCCACCTCTCTTTCCACACCGAGAAGTGAAGGAATGCTGTTAGCATCTCCCACGTTAAAGGCCTTTACGTTCGAAGATCTAAAGATAGCCACTAGGAACTTCAGACCCGATAGTGTTATCGGTGAAGGTGGTTTTGGTTATGTCTACAAAGGATGGATTAACGAGCGGACGTTAACGCCTTCAAAACCAGGATCAGGCATCGTTGTTGCTGTCAAAAAGCTTAAAGACGATACGCCTCAAGGCCACAAGGAGTGGTTGGTAGGGTCACAAAACCCTGTGTGTTCAAGAATCAACTTTGGCCATAGAAACCAAAACTATATATTTTAAGGAATTATTATTATTTTCCACAGGCGGAGGTTGACTATCTGGGGAGGCTTCACCATATGAATCTTGTGAAATTAATTGGATATTGCTTGAAGGGTGATTACATAAGGCTTTTGGTATACGAGTACATGCCCAAGGGAAGCTTAGAAAGTCATCTCTTTAGACGTAAGTATACTTGTCTTTTAAGTAGGATCTGTCGTCTCATAATTATCTTAAGAGTCCCTTAAAACTTCATACTAAATTTATATATTATATGCTGGAAAACATTTTTATAAAATTTAGGGGCCAAATATAAAACTCACAGATGTATCACACTTATGTTTAAAAATATGAAATGAAGATCTAGGTGTATTATGTAGGTGGGGCAGATCCGATTCCGTGGAGAACAAGGATGAAAGTGGCAATTAGTGCGGCGAGAGGGCTTGCTTTCCTTCACGACGCAGAAGTCATATATCGAGACTTCAAGGCCTCCAACATCTTACTAGATTCGGTACGAGTCAATTCACAACTTCTTACATGTGATTGTTTGTCAAATTTCTATCTTATAAATTTTTTGGTTCAATGACAAATGCATACTCATGCCAAAAATGAAGAAAAGATAAATGCTTAGTACAATCTTGTTCACAATTTGGTTATAGTACTTTTTTTTTATCTATTGTAGAAAGCGGAACCATAAAAAATATTTGTTTGTCTGGTTAATAATAAATATTTAAATATACTGTTATATAAACATATTTAAATTAAATTACAAAATATTAGTTAATTTCCAATTTTCGGTTTAGTTTTGTTGGGTACTATAAAGTTGGTTAACATCTAAAGACTATTAGGATTATAATCATATTTTGATATTTGATTTTGACTTAAGAAATATTATTTGGTTTTTATTTGTCAATATCTGTGCAGGATTTCAATGCAAAGCTTTCTGATTTTGGTTTGGCGAGAGAAGGACCAAAAGGAGACAGAACACACGTATCAACACAAGTGATGGGAACTCATGGGTATGCAGCACCTGAATACGTAGCCACAGGTCGAATAACTGCGAAGAGCGACGTCTACAGCTTCGGCGTGGTCTTGCTCGAGTTACTTTCGGGACGCCCAACTCTAGACCAAACAAAAGTCGGAGTGGAAAGAAATCTGGTGGATTGGGCGATACCTTACTTAAGGGATAGAAGGAAAGTGTTTAGGATAATGGACACAAAACTTGAAGGACAGTATCCTCACAAAGAGGCTTGTTTGGCTGCTAATATAGCGTTGCAATGTCTCAATCATGAGGCTAAGTTGAGGCCAAATATGTCTGATGTATTATCTACACTTGAAGAGTTTCAGATGACGAGCTCTACTTCAAAGACGGTCATGAAACTGACATCTTCTTCCTCTCTGCTGGCGGAGAAACGGAGAGTTAAAGCTCCGGGTGCTTCTCCGGTGGAGACTCGTCGGAGAGGTCCACGTGACAGGTGAAGCAGCAGCCGAATATAGTTTAGGTCTTTATAATGAGTGCATGTATTTTTGTTTTCGGAAAGGGTGTGTCTTTAACATCATATTATACATATTGCATTTTGTATATTCTTCTCCCTTATCTCTTTAACTTAGATTTGGTGGACTGAAATTTAGACTAGTTCTGAAAGAATGCTGCTGCTGGCTAGGCACGGTGGCATATATATATATGGTGTAGACATAATAAACATGTTTTGAACAAAAAAAGGAAGACATAATAAAATGCAGTATATTTATTTGTATTATATATATATATATATATCAATAAATAGAAATGTACAACATCCTATTCTCAAATGCAAAATAAAAATTTGGAAAATTAATTATATAAGATGAAGTCCGTTCCAAAATGATGTTTCTTTTTATATATCCATCAGAATTTGATAAACTTGCATATATATAACTAAAATAGTTATAAAGAAGTTGAAAAATAAGAGAAAAAAGTGCTACTATCAATTGAGATATACCTTATTGTCAGGATGTATTATACTTGTGTAGTATAGTCCCTCATTTCATTTCTTTGCTATACAGACGTGTCTATTCCTTGTGTTTATATTGTTTATACTTTTTGCACAGATGGCTTTGGAGAGGCCTTGTCATTCTCAAGTGCTGGAAGACCCCAAGACTCATATTGAAGGCAAATCAATTGAAGAGCTGGAAGAGGCAATCCACAATATAGATCTTAAGGATCTCATCATCAGTACCGTCTAATAGCATGTGTAAGTGGAACGGTCGAACATGACCTCAAATATAAAAAGAAAAAAAAGAAGGAAAAAATAAGGAAAAACTAAGAATTTTTAAGAAATATATAGATAAATTATGATAATTTTAAACAAATTTAGATATATTTCTAGATTAGAACTTATAATTTTTTTTAAAAAAACATCAAATTTAGTTATTAATTTTAAAAGAATTTCATTAAATCATAAATATATCGTGAATTTTTCTGAACAAGATCTAAAATTTATTTGAGAATTTCATTAGAGTTGTGAAAGTATGTGTTTTGAATATATAATTTTGACATATATAGTCATTCAATACTATAAAGGAGGATGAGCAGTAAAAATTAATAGATTGGCACGCTCTTGAGCTCACATAACCATATACAGTATGTATTAATTTGCTATAAAGCTTATGATCAAAAAGAGTTTCATTTCATATTAATCTACACTAGGGGCTAGTGACACTAACCCGCTTCAGCTTCAGTTTTCAACTATTATTTAATTTTGGTTTCAAATTTCAGTTAAAAATGTGACTAAAATTTCAATATCACTGTGATGATTACATGTATTATAAGATCAATCAAATAAAAATACGTTGTTCTATTATTTATGTACACCAGTATTGACTCTTAACTGATTCGACTCTGATTACAAATTTTATGGTTCGATTTGTTCCGGTTCTCTTATTAAACATACAAAAATATAATGACCAAGCTCTGCCACGTGACCAACATCTGTAGGTAAGACGCTTTTTACCGCCGCGAGTTAAGCTGATTAAATTTGACCGTGGAAACGGCGTCGTTTCACAAATTAAACTGGTAGCAAGCAAGCACGTAACACTCAAAAAAAAAAACAAAAAACAAAAAAGAAAATCAGTTCCTCCTCCTCATCATCCTCTTGAAACCTAAATTAAATTCGATTTTGAGACGGAAAAGCTCGACAATTCGCCGCCGGAGTAAACAGTCGGAGCTATGGCGATGCAAACCGGAATCGGCTTATCAAGGATCTTCCTCTTAGCTGGAGCAGGTATCTAACTCAAATTCTCTCAGCTCATCTCACTCGCTCTCTCTCTCTCTCGTTGTACTTAATGGATCTGTGTATTGGATCGTAAGGTTATACTGGTACGATTATGATGAAGAACGGCAAATTATCTGATATATTGGGTGAATTGCAGGTAATTTGGATCAATTTTTGCTTTCTATTTTTTTTTTGCTTTTGTCTACTTGAGAAAATTTGATTTATTTATTTGTTTTGGATAGTCTCTGGTGAAAGGAATGGAGAGATCAGGAGAAGAGGGAGATTCTGATGTTTCCGATGCTATAGCTGCTCAGGTTCGTCGTTTGGCTATGGAGGTTCGGCAGCTAGCTTCAGCAAGGCAGATAACGGTTATGAATGGTGTTTCTGGTGGTATGTAATGATTGGGGAGCTTTCTACTTTTGTTCTGTCGGAGAATCTTTTTGTTTCATCATTTGTTATTATTTGTGTGTTTTTATGTCAGCAAATTTGCAAGCACTTGCTGTTCCTGCTGCGGCGTTGGGAGCTTTAGGGTATGGTTATATGTGGTGGAAGGTGAGAATGAGATGGAAGTTTTAGATGTGATTGTGTTGTGTTAGGAGGTTTTAAAGGGGAACTGAAAAATGGTTGTGTTTGTTTTATTGGTTTAGGGAGTCTCGTTCACTGACCTTATGTATGTGACCAAAGCTAATATGGCTACTGCTGTGGCTAACTTGACTAAGAATCTTGAGCAAGTTTCAGCGACTCTTGCGGTGAGTTTTGGTGTTTCTGGTGATATATATTAAGCTGGAGGGGTTAAGTTTGGATCATAATCGTTTTGGTTCTCAGGCTGCGAAAAGGCATTTAACGCAAAAGATTCAGAATATGGATGATAAGGTGGAGAAGCAGATTGATCTCTCCAAGGAAATCAAGAACCAGGTATGGCTTACGATATGGAAATGTTTGTCTTTCATTGTTATGTATATGTATTGTGTGTTGAAGCAGTGTTGGACCAACGAAATGTGATTTTGGTTATGCTGAGCAGGTCACTTTGGCTCGTGGAGATATCAGCTCGCTTGAGAATGAGTTGCAGTCATTGAATGATTTGATTAGTGGTCTGGTGAGTCTTTTAAATGTTATGAACAATGATGACGATCGCGATGTTAAAAGGATTGCAACCGTCAAATACTTAGTCTTTGAGTTCATATCAGGAATTAGAATTCTCTTTTCTGGCATTTCATTCTGGCCAGATTCATTTTCTTTGGGTATCTCTTCTAATGATTATTATCCTGTAACCATTTTTTGCAGGATGGGAAGTTGGATACGCTGGAATACAAGCAGGTACATTTATCTTTTCTGTTCCAACCTTTTAGCTGTGAATCATTTGGAAGTCTTATTAGCAGGCATCATTAGCCTATGAATTAATATTACATTGTAATTAAATCAACCCACGAATTGGTAACTTAGTACTGATCCTGTTTCTGTTTCTGGTGGCAGGATGTTACAAATGTTTGCATGCTACACTTGTATAACTATTTTGGAGGCAAGAGCACTAAACTGCCTGACATGGTAGAGCTTCTCTTAATTATATTGAATTGTTCCCTCTGTAAATCTATATACATCCTTTTTTACGTTAATGTGATATTCCTTTTGTCTTCTTTTATATTTAACTTCCGCATGCAAACTTCAATCTTTACAGGAGCTGCTTCAACTTCCTGTGAACCAGAAAGCTCGTAATTTACTTGCAGATGTTGAAACCAAGGTGGTCTTTTCTTATATGAGAAGTCACAACAGCTTACAGTTACTGTTAAAAGCGAAAACTGATTGACAATATTTCGTCCACTCCGTTGCAGGGGCTGAAAAACTTTGCTGGACAACTGCTTATGAGCAATGACACAGAGGGAGGTACAACCACAGTGAGAAGAATTGATATAACCAAGGCTAATGACAAGTCGAAGCCGTTGTTATCAAGGTTTGATGAATTTGCAAAGCAAGCTTGTTCTGTATTTCTTGTGGGTTTTGATAAATATAGGAAATGTGAATGCAGGGTTACTTCAGCTGGGTGTTGATGTCGAAGTTTCCTAAAGAAAGTTGGTATATACAACAATGAACTCTTATACAAATGTGGAAGTTCTCTTATATTTATTTTTGTGGCTTGGTTTGTTTCTCCTCCCCCCCTAAACTTTGGGTAGTATGATATTTTGGTTTGTACTTTGGGAGTATTTCCTTGGACTTGTTTGTTTATTGACATGGACATGGGTTGTGTCCGCTTTTGGACTTTTGAAGCAAATAAAATGAAGTTGATGGTTGTTAAAATCTTGGCTTAAAAATGTGGTTTTTAATTTAAATATTATAAAAGTTTTGTTGATATGAAAAACCGTAAAGATTGAGACCAAATTTTTATTGTTATCACTCTTATAAATCATAAGGAAACTATTCTTATAAAGCCTATTCCTTTTACTTTCTCTCTATTCTCTCCATTTTCTACATGTAAGCCTTAGATCGTTTCTTCCGTGGTTGTTTGTTCCTATATCTCCTGATTTTAGGTCGCGGTGGTTGTTAGTTCCTACATCTCCTGATTTTAGGTCGTTTTTATGTTGAAGTGTTTCTTACTTGATTTTCTGGTAATGATGGACCTAAGTTGCCAGCCATGTAGCATTGGTACTTCGAGTTGTTACCGTCTCACGTCCTGGGTTCGGCAAGGGGACATCTACGGCACGTGTATGACTTGACGTGGGCTGAGATCAGACGTTTTAGTGCAGCCTAGCCAGAAAAGAATATTATGAAGTAGAAACGGAAAATTATAATTTAGGGTTTTAATTCACTATCATTTGAATTTTTTGGCCTTTCCCTCTTGCATCTTCGTTATCATCTCTCTAACATTTTGTGTCTTGGTATCACCTTCCTGATTTTTTTATCCGGATGACAAAAACACGCAAACCTTCTACTTGTCTCTTCTTATCTTTAACGGATTTCTGCTTTGCTGTTTTTCTTTGCATTAGGTATCTCCAATTCCACTATATTTTCCACTCGAACCTATAATTTAGTGTAAAATAGGTTTCAATCGTATATTATTTTCAACTCTATAATCTAGAGTGAAAAATAGGTTTACTCAATATATAGCGTAACTTGGTTTTTGTTCATTACTATATTTTTCACTTTAAAAGAGTACCAAAGGAACAACAATCAACTCTATTATAGAGTTACACTATTTTAAAAAGGAAAATGTAATAAACCTTTTGAGATGGTCTTATAACTAGACGTACATGTCTAGTTGTTTTGAACCTAATCGATTGTCTAATTGATTATTTTAGTACTAGTGGTATATAACTACCAGATGGTATAAGTGTATTCTGTTGCTTTGTAACTGTTTTATAAGAATGTTAAATTTTATGTGTGAGATTTTAAGATTTTGATTTATAGATATATTTATATTATATATTTGTAATTTCTATGTCGTATCCATATTTATTAAATTTAAAATTTGCCGGTTCTCTGTGGTTCTTGTCCCTGTTTTCTTTTCCCGTTCTGGTCTCCGTGCAACCTAGGTTGCTGGAGAGTCTGTTGGTTGAGTCTAAACCTAGTGGGGAACCTAATGAGTCGGTAGAATCTGACGAGTATGCTGCTAGTGATTTACAGAGTGGCTTCTTCCTTTTCTTGTAAACATGAACTCATTTTGCCTTAGTTGATGATTTAATTCTTTTTGTTAGTACTCCACTATTCTTAGTTTGATTCTCCTGACTTGAAGCGAAGGGTTCGCATTGAACAACTTGAACAGAACCATGACCAAGATGCCACCATTTACCTAATTAATATATTGAAACCTCTTGTAGGAATAACTGATGTTGAGTTGCTGGATGTGGTACGTTAATCATTGGTGGATGTTGTACATTTATTTCTAAGATGCTCAAAACTGTTTTGAACATATATCCTCCAAATAAATGCGAACGGTTATACAACTGCTGTGGCATCGTATACATTGTCAAATGCGGTATATGTATTCTGAAATTAAAATTATGTTCTTAGATCGTTTCTTAATTGTAATGTTTGAAAATAATTCAGGAAAAACTACTTATATTGATGAGGCTACTCGTCTCTATAAAGTGTGATGCTAGAGATGCCCATCAAGAAGTGGTCAATCATTTTTCAATCAGTTATCATTGATAAAGATAAGATTACGTTACTGATAGTCATCACCTCATTTCCCTCAAATTAGTTTTATTCATAAAATAATGTATTGATATTTTCTCTTCTTGACTTAATGATCTGAAGTGAGGAGTTTGTTAAGGTTTACAGTGAGATAAATCACATTGACCTATCTTTGAATGATTTTGTTAGAAAAAATGGTATTCGGTTCTATTCTTTGGACCATGTTCATCTTGGTGGAAAATATGGTCTTTAGTTGTATTCTTTTTTAGACCAAGTATGTATCATTTCTTACCAAGTTGTGAGTCATTTTTTTCAAAAATTCTTTGAAGTTAGCCTCCATGATAAATTTTAAATTGATAAACAGATTGCAATGATTTTTTTAAGCATTCATAGGTTTTAACATCAACATCTATACATGTACGTGTTTTTCATTTATGGTACCATGGTGGCCATGTCGTGTGCGTTGTCTGTACGCTTTATGTTTCGTTTATGATATCAAATGTCAGGTTTCTTAAAGTAAGTATAATATGTATGTTTAATAAGGATCACAAGACCGGTGATACCCTAAATTTCTTAGTTTGATGATCTCAAGTGAGGAATTACTTAAGAATTTCTACGATATGGAAATTCCCTCCGACTGATCCTTGGATTCTTTGCTATGGCTAGAAGGCACATGGTTGAATACCATGAAAATGCAATGAATAAGAAACTGGTCAATCAGTTTTGATAGTTTTTTAACATTAAGAAAATAATTCATGTGGAAACTCCTCGCTTTTCTACTAGCAAGGATAACAGATGTGTGCCAACATTGAGAAATGAGTAAATCAATTTTTAATCGTATGTTGATTTGAAGATTGGAAGCGCCTCTACATGCAATCCCAAAACGGATCATACCTTCATCTTCCAGTTTTGGAAGGACGACCTGGAAAAAATTCAGAAATATTGAATTAGACATATATAGCCAATATTAATTAACTATGTAGATTGGCAAAGAAGGAAATAAAAAAGGATTACCGTTTTGAATAGTTTATTCCATTTCTTAAGGAATTTGTCGTTTGTAGCTTTATTCGTTTTCCGGACAAATTTTACTTGATATACATGTAGCGTCTTCTCGGCCTCATCCAATAGCAGCCCAGAGTCGAGTTTTCCACACTTTGTGCTTACCATCTTTGAAAGATCCTCTCTTGATTTACCTACTAGATGATCGACCACAACTTTGAGGAGTTCGTCCATACAACAAAAACCTTCACAGACCTGTGAATAAATTTAAACACATGGAAACGAAATGATTAGGATGAGAAAATCAGTATGAAAAGACAAAGTAAACATAAAAACCAAATCCTTAATTTGAAACTGTAACATATAAGTAATCCTCAAATCAATATTCTGCTCAAAAGGTATATTCAGATTATTATACATTTGAAACACAAACCTCCACAATTTGGATGAGATCCTTGAGATCTAGATTGAGTATTTACTCCTTCAACTCTTCATTTGATTTCCCGTCAATATGAGTAGTACACTTATTGTACAATTGAGAATGATCACGCTGATAGAAAGACATCTGTGCAAAAGAAAACAGAAACCTCGATAATTAAGAGGCAATGATGATGAAAAGTATGTATATTAGTACAAAATGAGAAGCAACGATGAAAAGGACTCAAATAGGAAAGACAATCTGGATCAGTTGGATCAGATCCGAGCTCGCCCTTGAGAAGTATCTACGAGAGCTCGTCAATTGATTTTTGTGTCTCCAGATGGAGGTTCAAAGCACAGCTCAGTGTGTTAAGACGGAGGAACATGGTCACCTTGTATAATTCATGGAAGTTGCTGAGATGTTCATAGCGGATACTCTGGGAAATCTCTTCTTCTGATTTCCCATTCAGATGCTGGACCACCACAGAGCAAAATGTCTCATCATCAAGACCAAACCCCTCGTAAGTCTCCTATTAATAATATGAATGACAGGTGAGAAATCTAAACAACCTAATCACATATCTGAAAGAAATAAGTTAAAAACGGGGGGAAATCCTTCAAACTTCCAAAGAGAGTATTGAGATCTATGTTGCAGATGGTCTGAGAGATCTCCTCAGATGATTTCCCCTTCATATCATTAACCAACACAAGCGGCTCAATGGAAAGCAGCTTCCCTCCCTACAGTACACTAACGTAGCTGAGAATAGACAAGAGACATAATGAGATAAGAGAACAGAGACAATCTGAGCATACCTAAAAATCATCAGCTGCATGTGGAGTAGCAACAACCTCCTCTGCGACTGAGACTGATCTCTCAAAAATGACACCGCTTTCTTCAGCAAAGACACCACTGAAAAAACACAGATGCAAACATTAGATGAATCCAAACAGCAATAAACCATAACGAAGTGGTAATCAATGATGAAGCTTACGAGTTCCTCATTAGGGTATCGATATGGTTGTACCATCGAGATGCGTTGACATATTGTGAAGATGGTGGCTCTGCAAAAGCTGTGAAGACAGTTTTATCATCCTTGGAAGCTTGGTTTCTGTAAAACAAAACACAAAAGGAATTTTTGTACAAAAAAAAAACACAAAAGGAAATTAGTAGTTACTCTTATAGATTCGAAACAAAGAATCTAACAGCGAGAATTTAGGATCTAATCTTACTAAATATATGTTCACAGAATCTTATTACCCAGTGGTGTAATCGCGAGTGAGAAAATGCTCATCGGTAACTCTAGAAGCCAATGCAGATTCAAATAACCGATGGTTTAAGAGATGTATTGAGATTCTTAAATTCTGGTTAGACAATAATGTAACCTTTTTTTAGAGAAGCAGAGAGAATGAATCCTTCATATATATACAAATAACTTATTGCTCATAAATCCAAATTTAGCTAGCTCCATCTGAAGTAACAAAACCAAAATGCTTCCTATATTGTAACGCGTTTCAAAATATAACCACATGATGTCCAATAATTTGCCACTTTTTAAGTGATATTCCCAACTATGTTTGTCTTATAAGAAGCAAAGAAGGTAACGTTACACCACATCACTATCTAAATCAAAAAGGAGGGAAGAAAAAAATAACATATAAAGGAGGTGTAACACTCCGATCCCCCCACACATGGCACCTTTTTCTTTGTCGCCTTCCAAATCATTAATCATTTTTTAATAAAATTTATCTTACTCTGTCACCGGGCCAACAAATTTATTTACGAGAATGTCTTATTCTTTTTCTTATAAAACAGAGTTCATGTCTTATTCAAAACTCAGATCTTTTAATAAAAAATATAAACAATGGATAATTTGTAAATTGATTTTTTGAAGCATTCATAGGTTTTAACATCAACATCTATACATGTACGTGTTTTTCAATTATGGTACCCATGGTGGCCATGTCGTGTGCGTTTTCTGTATGCTTTATGTTTCGTTTATGATATCAAATGTCATGTTTCTTAAAGTAAGTATAATATGTATGTTTAATAAGGATTCACAAGACGGATGATACCCTAATATTCTTAGTTTGATGATCTCAAGTGAGGAATTACTTAAGAATTCCTACGATATGGAAATTCCCTCCGACTGATCCTTGGATTCTTTGCTATGGCTAGAAGGCACATGGTTGAATACCATGAAAATGCAATGAGTAAGAAACTGGTCAATCAGTTTTGATAGTTATTTAACATTAAGAAAATAATTCATGTGGAAACTCCTCGCTTTTCTACTAGCAAGGAGAACAGAGATGTGTGCCAACATTGAGAAATGAGTAAATCAATTTTCAATAGTATGTTGATTTGAAGATTGGTACACAATAACATGTATTTAACAACAATTCAAGAGGAGGCTACTAAGGCTCGAGAGCACAAGATTGAAAACCAGATAGAAGCATTAAAAATTGGTAAACCAATCGTCTCCATTTTAAAGATAAGAAAATGTTTAGTTCCTTGACTTTTTGTTCATGATAATGGTTTCTGACAAGCCATTGTTTGTGGAATATGACCCAATATATTTTTATGAAAACAAGAAAATGGTTGATCCAACATGTTAATGAGCTGGTTAGGATGTATTTCTTTCCTTTGTATTGAAAATTCATCTTGGTAAATTTACACTATCTCTACTAATAAGGATTTGGTTTTTTAATTGTCCCTTAAAGATTTGTTTTAATGTCGTGGTGCTCTTTTTTAAGTCTCTGCCAGTAGTTGAAATTAAAATGTTGATATACCCAACCATATAAATAACCAAGGGTATTATGACTATAATAGAGTTTTATCTATTGATTTTTCTCCTATATTTGTAATAACTTGATCACAATGAATCAAACTCTTTATTGAATCAATGGAAATGATGAAGTACACTTTGTATCAAGAATCAATTTGAGCAACCGCTGGCCTAACCTAGACGATACACTCCTCAAGACTCTCGTCCGTGTCCAAAATACAAAGCTATCCTCTTCTCAACGATGACTTCATAGCTTTATAGTTGATTCTTCATCCAACGGCAAAGACTCTAAATCTGGGTAGAGTATTTAGTCAATCTGCTAGCTCAGCAATAAGCTGCTTCAAGCTTATCAGACTACTATTAGATTAGATTTATATCAATTCTCAGAACTACATTCCACCTTTGTGGTTACTATTCAGTCTGAGTATTAGTTTTATCGCTTTTTGATTCTTGTTAACGACCTGTCTCGACTTTAGGACTTGAAGGAATCAAAACAAAAGATGTTGGAATTAAATTGTATTTAACATACCTAGAGATGTTAAAACACCTAGATGCAGAGCCAAAATGTTTTCATAGACGTAATGTGAGCATGAGACACAAGTAAAATCATTGTGTGTGCAATCGTAACATGTCACCAGCCAAGAATTATATATACACAAGTAAAATCATAATGTGCAGATATTCATCGTGAGGCTTTGCTAGCCATTCAGGATATCACATCGTTGCTTGGTATTGAGGGTACCACCAAGAATATATATACAGTCTATCCTCTGCTTGTTGACGCTAAACTTGACGTTATATTAGTCTCTTGAAAAACCTTATGGATCATGTGGTTAGCATCATTTCCTACTCCTTTTGCTTTTGCATTTGAGATTGTTATAAATTATTGATTCTCAAAATTGTTCAGCGATATGAATGCATCCTCACCCATGTGATGTAAGTGGCAGGGCCGGCTTATAAATTACTTGGGCCTCTCCAGCTAAAGCCTCTTACTTTGTTGATAAGAGTGTGAAGATGGTAGCTTGTGGTATGCGGCATTCACTTGTCTTGTTCGCAGGTAAAAAACATCTGATTCACCTGTTTTGCAAGAAAACTGTTTCTCCATTTGATTTTATCTTTGTTGTGTCTTCAGGGAATCAAGTATGCGGATTTGATTCTGGAAAACGCGGACAGCTTGGTGTGTCATCAGACAAAACAAAATCTTTAAATCTTCCATGTGTTGTCTCTCGATTAGAAGATGTTGAGGTTGTTCGTATAGCAGCCAATGGAGATCACAGTGCAGCTATATCTGGTTTGTTGGTTTAACTCTTAAAGTCTCTCAAGTCTCTCATATATTTGTTTAACCGGGTTTTCTGATGTGTTTGATCAGGTAATGGAGAGTGGTTTAGTTGGGGAAGAGGCTTCTGTGGTAGCCCTGATGTTCAAACCCCTCAGTGTCTGTCTTCATCTCAATCTTTCAGAGAAGTTGCTTTAGGATGCAATCATGCTTTACTGCTAACAGGTAATTTTTTTGTGGTTGCATCAATAACTTCCATTAGCTCTTACTGAACTCATTCCTCTGCTAACAGGTAATTTTTTTGCGAACCAAAGTACAAAAGATTCACCAAATCCTCCAACTTTTCGACTTTCTTGTTCCTCGGGAGTGTTTACGATATCGTTTTGAACGTTGAGGGAGATTTCTTGGGAGAGGGCGGAGGAGAGGGGAGAGCGGAGCTTGTCGAGCTCTTCGATGAGAGTGAGGAGGGAAGGTTTGGAGCGGAGGACTTCTTGTTGCTCTTTGTTTAGGGTTTTGCCTTGGGAGAGGGATTCTTGTTGCTCTTTGTTTAGGGTTTTTGCCTTGGGAGAGAGTGAGTGATGGGGATAAAGTTGAAGCGTCTGGTTTTTTCTAGCTATGGTATTGAGTTGTTATATACAGTGGATAATTAATAGATTTGTCGTAATTTCGAGATTTATGTTTAATTTTATTGTCTAATCAAATCTCATTTTCGATTATTCGGTTAGACTTTTGAGATTTTTTCTAAACAAATTTTTGGTGGATTAGAATTTTTTTTTTACAATTCTTTTATCAATTTAGGAGGTTTTTGGAAATAACAAACGAAAGTACATACAAATTATGCAGAAGTTATTTCTTACAGATGAAGAGACAAAGTTATACAACTGGAAAGAAAAAAAAATGTTTCCAAAGGGATAAGGTTTGAGTTGACAAGCCACTTTCAGGTGGACTGATGTGCAATTTCATTTTCAGGTTAGTGATCCTCGCATATGAGTTCATTGTATTTATTTGGACTCCTTGTAAGTTGGTTGAATTTCGGCAGATATAAATAACATGATATATTCAAATGTTTTACATATAGTATTATAATTTTCAAGATACTCGATTTCATTTATTAGTAACTATGATGTAGTAAAAAAGAGAAACACAACAGTGATTAATTCTTCATGGCGAATGCATGCTCAGTTCACACAAATTAACTCCTAAAATCCAAATGTTATTTTACACAAAAAAATTGCTTATTTAAAACAACAGACAACAGCAGAATAAGCTTGTTCTACATCCCAAAAAGAAGAATGTATCAAGTATTTTATATTATCAAAACTTGTACCTTTTTTTATATCAACTCTTAACTAAAGAGTAAGCAATGGTCAAGTACCATTAATCTTGTACCAACTACCAACTCTGATTATCTTCTAGACTTCTTACATGGTTCATATCATAATGCTTCACCAATCACTCACTCACCTTACAAGTTACAATAAGACAGACAATCACTCATTACTAATGTCTTTGCTCTCGAGTACTTAGTTTGCAATGTATCCGCAAAAGTCTTGTGCCACTGGTAAATTTAACTAATGAGACAAATGTTCATTAACTAAATATAACGAGAGCTTCAAACATTACAACAATATGGTATAATAATATACTCACGTCTATAGGCTAGCACTGAAGGGTACTAAAACGACATGCAACGTTCCATTGTTGGGAGGAAGTTGCAAACGAAGGGGAAATAGCTCGCCGTTTAACGGACTGCGAGTGCACACCACACCATTCTCCAAGCAAGTCTCTTCTCGCAGTGTCCGAGTCAGTTCTGCCACACTGTTTCCTTTAAACGTGAAAGCAGCTCCAACGGTTGACTTGTCCTCCACATGCCCTTCATCATCAGCGATGTGGTAATATATTGTCCTCCCATCCGATTTCGGTGGAGACACAACCGACTGATCAAAATCAAAACTGGTGTCAAGATTGTAATTTCAATTAAATTATGAGGGTATATTTATAATTATAAAAAGTACTCACATTTTGATAATTGATCTCAACAACATCAACCTCCCACGAGATGGAATCTTGAGTAGCCGACAAATGAGGATTATCATGCGTGACGGAGTTTCTCCACGGAGGAAGACCACCGTTAGCTCTTAGATAGTTACCGTCTCTAGTCTTGAGCTTAATCTTGGAACCTTCTCTCACCGGTTCCCACTCAACAGACGAGTCAAGTGGACTCTGTTTTAGCTGAATCACTTTCTTTCCTGTAGCTCCAAGCAAGAACCGCTCGTTGGAAGCGGTTAGGTATTTACCGTAACAGCTTTTAAGACGGATTACATTGGATGAATCTTGAACGGGTTCGACGGTCCATTGAGCGTTTTTGGTTGATCCGTTTCTGTTTTGAGTCACTGTTTCTTCGTCGTCGTTGGCGGATAGATACTTGTTGTGGCTGTTGCGCATTCGAATAGTTGTAGCTGTTTGGAAAAACTCCATTGCTGAAACTGTTTCGTTTTTGTTGAAGTTACTCGTCTTCTCCTTTTGGTTGAAGGTTATCGTCTTCTGTAAATAAAATAAAGAAAAAACTAATGAGTGGGGAATATGTAAGAAGTAGTGAAGATGTGGTCTGTGTATTTATACGTGTGTCGGCTTTTGTGGTTAAGCGGACACGAACACGGGACTGGTTAGTGATGTAAGAAAACTGGAAAAGTCAAAACTTTTTCCTGACTGGGTTTTACCGCGTTTTAATTTCCATGTCAACATATGTTCTGTTAGCGTTTGGAACGTGTTTGCTTCACGTGTTTGTAACGAGTCTCGCGATTTTAAAGTAGCATACATGCAAATTTCTGATTCGCAAACTTCCAAATTCCAATCATGAGAAAGAGTTAGTGGCGAGAATCCCAAAGACACCAACAATAGTTTAACATGTATTCCAAATCAGAATATTAAGATTATAATTTGTAAATCTCATTCTAATGCTCTATAAATTTTGAAATCGGAGTTAAATTTAAGAAGATAGCAAAATAGAGTTAATTATTGATACAAATCATATATAAACATGTAATGAAAATACAGTTTCAGGAAGGTTAGAACTTAGAAGTATTATGTGGTACTTTTTGTGCAGACTGAAAATTATAAATACTATGTACATTGCCTTTTTTTTTTCCAGAATGTAATGGTGTCCGTGTCCCTATGCCATTAAAGTATGGGTTGAAAAAAGAGGATTTAAGTGAATACAGTACTTAATATATAAATTTATAGACTATTTTTTTTCTTTGTAACTTTAAATTTATAGACTCTTGCCCGCAAGAAAGACCAAGAAAAGGAAATTCATGAGTGTGGAACTCTCCTAATTGCATCCTTCTTGGACACATATGCTATGCTCTCCATACCATCACAAATAATTCATATCAAACACCATCTTTTTTACCTTACGCTTTTCTACGTGTCTTGTGTTAGTTGACACTAGCTTTATTTATATGAGTCTATTAACTATATACGTTTTTAATGTTGCCCAAAAAGATAGGTATAAAGGGTTGTATTAGGCTGGTGGAAATATGTTTGTGACTTTGGGCATTATATATTTTAAGGAAATTAGGCTATATAACAAAAAAAAACACAAATTCACTAACTATCCAAAATCACATTCTCTCTCCTACTTTCTATAAATCTTTTTCATTTTTGGTTATTTGACAAGTAAACCTTATATGTTAAATGGAGAAAAGAATCATGCCTATCCATACATTTTTCTAATTTTTTTCTATAATTCTAAATATTAACATGGTAATCAATCCCTATCATTTGTTTTCCATCTAATGCATGCGGAATGCCAGTCAATTTTAAGATATACAAATGGTCTAAGTTCAGCTAATAATAATAACTTTCTTTAGTACACTTAGGCACAATGTAGATGAAAATTAATGGTTCAAGACTTGGTCAAACTTACCGGTTTTGGAGTCCATTTCGTAGACATAGAACTTAAACCAAGAGAAGCAAACCGACCAATACTCTTCTTTGACCAGGCAGAAGTAGGCGACCCAGGCACTGACCCGGAGTGATGTGAAGAAACAGAGCTCTCATCTCCATCAGACATGTTTTCAAGATCAAAACCATCAACGGTAATAACATCCCAAACCAACCAGTTCTTGGTCTTCAACGTATGAGGCTCGTCGTGAGTAACGGAGTTTCTCCACGGCGGTGTTCCACCGTTAGCCCTCATCCATTTTCCGCACCAAGATTTCAGCTTCACAGAGAACCCATCTCGCACCGGTTCCCACTGTGTTTGCCAGTCCATAAGTTTGTTAGACTTTGGTGTTTGTGTCACTTTCTCACCGGTCATACCCAACAGTAACGGTTTATTGCTCGCTGTTAAGTACGTGCCATGGCAGCTTCTTAACCGTAGCAGATTGGGTTTACCGACGACGGTCTCCACCGTCCAAACGGCTCGCTGTGAATCTCCTTCACGGCTTTGACGGATGGTTTCTTGGTCGTCATCGGCGACTAAAAACTTGTCCAGGTGGCTCCGTATCTTGAGGGCGTTTCCTTTGGTGAATAACTCCATTTTTTGTAGGTTTGAAAAAGAGACAAGACCAAATCGGAACAGAGTTTGTGTTTTCTTTGGTGAAGGTGTCAGGTGTTTATGGTTATTTATATAAACTAGATTTTGACGAGTCCAAGATTTTTTTTGTTACAATCTAATACAAAATAGAAAAAAGATGATATGCATTTTTTTTATTATAAAAACATTTTCACTACTATTACGTAATTCTGATATAGATCGTCAATTTCAAAATTAAAATGAGTTTCTCTAATATATAGCTAACTGGATATTTTTTGAAATGGATTATCGTGGTGAACAAGAATTCGCATTTTAACAGTAAATTTATTTTGTATATATATCTCAATTTAAAAATAAAAAATATTTTAACCTGTGTCTTTAATTCTGAATTAATTTATGGTTGGCAATTTATAACAAAACTATATTTATTTACTAACTGTAATTTTTTTTATAATCATATTCATAATATGTGATCTTTAATAAAATTTTAATACGTGATATATTCAATTTTTTCTTCCAGTTTAAAGTTACATGGTAAATCATTTATTAGAAGCTTTATTTTCTGTTTTATTGGAATTATAAAAATATTTTTGATTTTTATTTAAGAATCAAAAGTGACACTTATTTTGGAATATGCAAAATAGAATTTAATAATATTATATATATTGGAATGTGCAAAATAGAATTTAATAATACTATATATAGTATAATATATAATTTCAAAGCTATTCCCATTTAGAAAAATTAATTTGTGTTGTGTTTTTCTTTTGTTTGAATTTAATTAATTGAATTTGCACAGTTAAATATTATAATTAAGTTTTCTAATAATCATATATAAAACTAAACTATCTATATTAATTATGATAATAATATATATAAAGAAAAAAAAGTAAAAAACAAATCGAAGTAGGAAAAACATTCTTCGTACTATCACATGTACAAATTGAAAAAGAGACTATATAATTCAAATCATATGTAAAACTATATTAGGCAATTTAAAACTTATAAGATATTAATATTAGGTTATTTAATGAATATTTTTTTTCAAATCTTCTAAAGATCGCTTCAAGATATTGTAGATAATTAAAATATTTAATATAGTTCAGTGGCATTTACTTGTAATTATTGAAGAAAATTAAGAGTTAATTTAAAATTGTACTTCAGTTTTAATAGTATAGATAGATGTGTGCTATCACTATAACAAAATGAGAGTATGATCGATCTGTTATGGGCGAGTAATAGCATAATATACAGAACGTTGAATCTAATTTTTTTAGTCTAACATCATTTCCAAATGTAGAACTCCATTTTTTCCAAAATAAAATAAAATAGAATATTGGTAAAAATATTTCAACTTCACTTCAAAATAAAGTAATGCACAAACAAAAAATATATATTATTTCATTTATAGAGTAAACTTTATCAATATTATAGTGTAGAAAATGAAGTATAATTGAAGTGCTTTTACTTCATATCTTTTTTATTGAATTTTAGAATAAAAACGGAGCTGAGTTGGAGATGTCCTAATGACACATAAAAGTGTTGACCTAACTAAGTTCACATTAATTGAGAATCATTATGACATTTGAGTGTAGTCACGTGTCGTCATTATGTCTCATAATCCTTTGAAAATATGTTGATTCATCTAAATATATATTTATTTATATTAAATTAGTCAGTAGTACATAAAAGAATATTTCTCATTTTTTCTTTAAGAAATTTTTTTGCAATTACATAATATAATTTATATATATGAAAATTAATCATTATAAATAATAAAGATTTGATAATAGTTTTTATCCTCTTTCCTTTTTGTTTAATTTCTATTATTAAAAATAATTACATTAACTATATAATGAAAAATAAACTTAGTTTCAAAAATTTTGTATAGAGGAATTTTTTTTGCATGCTTATCCTCATTTAAAAAAAATTTGTCAAACGATTTCTTTGAAGAGTTTTTTAAAGAAAAAATTAAATTTATTATCAAAAGATATGATCTGAAAAAGTGAATTTGAAATGACACCTTTATGTCAAAATAGATTTATCTAACACATAAATAATTATAATAATCATATTATATTTTCAAATTTATATTTTATTTATCCAAAATATCTATTCTGGATAAAATATATATTTTCATCTAATAAACTGTAGTTTTCAAAAACTAAAATAAAAGGTAGAATTTTAAAAAATTAAACTGTAAGTAGAATATTTAAAACTTATCCCTAAATATATGGCAATTCCATCCAAAATTATACACTTCTATTAAGAGTTAGATTTTTTTCTTAATTCTATTAAGAGTTAGAAAATATATATGACCGAAATATAAAAGTGGAGACTCTTTTATTCAGTTAAAAATAAAGATATTACATTGTGAGTTTAGTGAATAAAAAAAGAGGTCAAAATCCACAAGAGTTTCGGTTTTTCTTTTAAAATTTCAGTGATTTGTTTATCCTTTTGCAAATATATAATTACAAGAAAATATATATGACAGTTAATCATTATGAATAATAAAGACTTGATAATAGTTTTTGTATCTTCTTTCTTATTTGTTTAATTTATAATATTAAAAAATTACATTTAATCATATATTGAACATCAAATTTATTGTCAAAAAGTTTGTATAGGGGAATTTTTTGCATGCTAATCCTCACTTAAAAAAAATCGCCAAACGATATCCTTGAAGAGTTTTTGAAAGAAAAAATTATATATATATATATATATATATATATATATATATCAAAAGATATGATTTGAAAAGTGAATTTGACTATGCTTCTAAATAAGTAATTTCATTTTGAGTAGTCGTTGATTGGCTATAACATTTTTTTAGGGTCAACACATTGATTTCCCATTTAATATATTGTAACGTTTCAAAATATACGACCAGTGTTTCATACCTGATTTGATTTGAACTCACGGTCGAAAACTCGGTGACATCTATATACAGTAAAACTTCTATAAATTAATAATGTTGAGACTTTGAAATTTTATTAATTTATAGAGATATTAATTTACCAAAAGTTTCATTTTTCAGATTTTTTTCTATTTTTTTTCCATTTTTATTTATAAACTCAAAAAATATTTGATTTTCGCAGAGGTACATTATTTAAATATTAGAAATTTGACGTTCATATATACTTTTATTATCTTATTTTGTGTATATTCTTATGTTTCATAGAATTGTTATGTGGTTTTCGATATAATTTAACTAAATATTATCAAAATATATTAGTATTTTTATTGTAAATATAAAACCAACAATATAATGTTAGATTGTACTTATATAAAACTATATAGATAGATTATTAATTTATGATTTTAATGGGACTATCCATTTACATGGCATTTTTATAAATATTATTATCTTATTATTTTATCGATTTGTGTCATATTTTACACCGGCCCAAATTGAGACCGGTCAAATTTATTATTTTATAGAGATTATTAATTTATCAGGTATTAATTTATAGAGGTTCTACTGTAGTAAGGTTCGAATTTAATGGAAAAAATGTTAATTAAAAACTAAATAAAATCCGGTAAAACCCCGAAATCTCCTTATTAATTCGTGACCCGATATTACCTAGTAAAAACCATAACATTTTGGCCAACGTTCTAATTTAATACTAAATTTTTTTCACATTTTTTCTCTAGAGACTGCTGATCAGGACCGTCTCAAATAAATTTTAGATCTTGTTCAAAAAAAAAAATCAATGATAGAATAATAATTTAATAATTTTTTTAAAAAAGTTAATAATTATGTTTGATGTTTCTTTAAAACTATAAGTTCTAATTTATAAATATATCTAATTTTTTTTTAAAATATCATAATTTATCTATATATTTCTAAAAAATTCTAGTTTTTTCCTTATTTTTTCTTTATTTTTTCCTTATTTTTTTGTTTATTTTTATATTTGGGGGCATGTTCGACCGCTTCACTTACACATACTATTAGATGGCCCTGCTGCTGATTATCCCACTCCGGAACGTTGGTTCATCATTATTATGATTATCATTGCAATTTTGATGCTCGGCGGTAGGGATGGACAAATTAACCGAACCCAAAAACCCAAACCGAAGCCGATTCGATAAAAATAAATCTGAAAATATAACAGATTATACCGGTTCTTTAAAGATTTACTAACCCCGACCCGAACTCGATAGAACCCAAACCAATCCCAATCTAAACTTTCAAATAATCTGAATAGAGCTAATTTTGATAAACCCAAAAAACTAAAGACCCAATTAGATAAAACCGAAACCCAATTAGAATCTCAGACATGCAGACCTGCTCAGTGGATTAGTCTACTACTGTTGGAAGAACCAGCAGTCAACCCATGAAGATTCGTCGGAGGGAGACATAGAGATGTTTTATAGAACATCACTATGATAATATTATATTATGATTTCTTTTTTTTTAACTAAAAAATGTCTAACTTAACATGTCTACTATATAAGATGCGTAAGTCGTCTACTATATAAAGTCGTTGTATTTATTTATTATAAACTTAAAATGTCTAAATTAATATTTGCTTTAATCATTTTCTCTACAATATATATATATATTTTTTTTGTAATTTACATATATAATATATTATATTATTTTATAATATAAAATATTTATTATTTTATTTGTACATAATATTATATTAGAAATTTATAACTTGATGTAATTTGTTGTAATTTTACTATTCATATACTAACATGTTGTTTTCTGTTAATTTATTTTAAAATGAAACAACGTAATATTTAATTTTGCATTAGTTTTCTATGAATTATCAATAATTTTATGATATTTTGTTTTCTTGAAATTTGAACTCTCAAAATTTTATAACTGAATAAATTAAATAAGATATTTAAAAATTATATATTATATATTTCAGTTTGTGTTTTTATTTTCACCACAAAAAAAAACCCTTGTAATTAATTAGTTTAAATTTATTTTAAATGCAATGACAAAATCTGTAAATAAAAAAAAATACAAAAGAAAAGTATTTATGTTATTGTAAATGCAATGGCTAAATGTGCAAATAAAAA